CTAAACGACTAAAATAATGTTGTTTGTTTATTAACTTCATGTTTTACATTTCAGTGTTTCTCAAGCTGTTTCATGTTTAATTCATTTATAACTTTAAAGTTTGTGTTTTTAAAAAAGAAAAGAAAGAAGAAAAAAACTGCAACTAAATTCTAATAGTCATTCGTGGATATTTATTTCATCCTGGCTAAAGAATTGCTTTAAAAAAATGACCTTTGGAGCTTATTATTAATAATGTCATGAGTATCTTAGACATCATTCATCATATGACGAGTGAAATTTATATAATAATCATTTGTTGAAGAATGTTGCAGTGTTTCATGCATAAAATTAATACAAAATCTCAATGCAATAAACTAATAATACACATTTGTTCAATATAGTTTTAAGGATTAAACAAATGAAGCATTCTTTAAAGTTGCATTTATTTATTTCACTGTTGATTCCATTTTCTTTATTATAAGTCAAATTCTAAAATTTACTTTCTTTGTAAACATTGAGTTTAAAAAATTATTATTTTTTTTTTTTTTTTAAATATCAAACCTCCCAAAAATCATGTATTAAAATTATATTAATTTATTACAAAAAAAAAATTCAGGAAAAATATAACTTTCTACTTTGTAACTATTGTCAACATTTAATTCCCCCCCCCCACCCCCCCCCACCCCAACCAACAGCTCCGTTCTTCATCAAACATTTGCCCAAGACCATCGATGTGATGGAGGGTATTGATGTCAGGCTGGACTGCATCCTACGACGTGGCATTGAACTGGTCAGGTGGTCCTCCTCACCCTCCCCGTCACATGACGCGGTCAAGGCCAAGAAGGAACTTGCCGATGAGGGATTTAGTGGAGAGTTCATTCCAATGACGAAGAGCTCTCAACTGAAGGAGGATAAAACATCTGGTAAATTGAAACAAAACAGTTGGTTGAATAGTATAGTTACTTAAATCAATGGTTTGTTTCCTTTTAGCTTTTGCTTTATATATAGGAATCTATAGTTATATCTATATCTCATGATTCTTTAGGAAGCTTTAGTTATATCTGGATATGATGATTGTATTGGAAACTATAGTTAAATCTATATCTGACGATTGTATTGGAAGCTATAGTTATATATCTATCTGATGATTGTTTAGGAAGCTATAGTTATATCTATATTTGATGATTGTATTGGAAGCTATAGTTATATCTATATCTGATGATTGTATTGGAAGCTATAGTTATATATCTATCTGATGATTGTATTGGAAGCTATACTTATATCTCTATCTGATGATTGTATTGGAAGCTATAGTTATATCTCTATCTGATGATTGTATTGGAAGCTATAGTTATATCTATATCTGATGATTGTATTGGAAGCTATAGTTATATCTATATCTGATGATTGTATTTGTTCACAAACTCAGCTAAGCACTTGATTACTTGAACTATTTTATGTCAGATCGAGACGCTAGATTGGAACATCCAAGTTTCCAGACCACCCCCCAGGATTTGGAACGACCCGTTGGAAGTGAGGCTGTATTTGAATGTACCAGCTCAGGGACCCCTGAACCTGAGGTCAAATGGTGAGCAGGGTCACATAATCTATGTTATTTTTTTAGAGTTTAAATATAACTGATATTTACATTTTTTTTTAGTTTTGATATCTTTTAATGTTCTCTTCTTTGATCAGGAAATAAAAAAAAAATGTACTCTATTGTGTTCCCAGTTTTATAATATATATATATTTTATATAAAATCCAAATAATAAAAGACATCTATCGAATAAGTTTAAGTTTAATTTAATCCATTAGATGGTTCATTAGATCTGTGGATTTTTTAGCCAAGAAACATTTAAAGAAAAGTCCAATGTATGGACTAGTTCTCCATCTGTACTGATTCAATGCACACCCAGCTTCATGGTGAAGCAGTTCTCAAATCAGTTGGGTAGATACTGATGATGTCCTTTCTTTGTTTGGTTTCAGTTGTGTTACATTTAACTAATTTCTTTGATACATTTCTGTCCACTGTCTGTCATTTGTCTCATGTGTATCATATGTGATCAGGTACAAAGACGGCAGGCTATTGATTGCAACTGGCTCAGTCCAAATGACAACAGTTGGAAACAGACACAAACTCAAGTTAAAAAATCTCCTGAGGTCAGACCAGGGAGAATATGTCTGCAAGGCCACATCTATTGCTGGGACCAAAACTTGTGGGGCTGTGTTGACCATTGTCGATGGTAAGACGTTAAGAATCACAAACTTACCATTTGGCTCATGCTTGTTGATAGTAAGACGTTAAGAATCACAAGCTTACCATTTGGCTCATGCATGTCGATGGTAAGGCGTTAAGAATCACAAACTTACCATTTGGCTCATGCATGTCGATGGTAAGGCGTAAAGAATCACAAACTTACCATTTGGCTCATGCATGTCGATGGTAAGGCGTTAAGAATCACAAACTTACCATTTGGCTCATGCATGTCGATGTTAAGACATTCAGAATCACAAACTTACCATTTGGCTCATGCATGTCGATGTTAAGACGTTCAGAATCACAAACTTACCATTTGGCTCATGCATGTCGATGGTAAGACGTTAACAATCACAAACTTACCATTTGGCTCATGCATGTCGATGGTAAGGCGTTAAGAATCACAAACTTACCATTTGGCTCATGCATGTCGATGGTAAGGCGTAAAGAATCACAAACTTACCATTTGGCTCATGCATGTCGATGGTAAGGCGTTAAGAATCACAAACTTACCATTTGGCTCATGCATGTAACTTCAAGGGAATTCTTTTCTTGCCTTTCTCATCATGTCTCACACCAGTATCAGTTGTTTGGGTCATGTAAGTAATGTTTCTAATCACCAGTGCTGTACAAAGCTGTAATTGTTTGAAGGCTAATGTATATAATGTTTCTTATAAATCATCAGATTCCTCTGCCCGTAGACCCTCTAAAACGCAACCAGTTGTTGAGGAGGATCACCAGCAATCATCAACCAGTCAACCACAAGAATCAGCTCCCAGGTGGGCACTTCATTATATTTCTTATCCACATTTACAGCCATCCAGCCTGAAGAAAGAGAGGAGTTATTCATTCATTTTAAAGTGGTGTGAATTTTGTCTTAATCACTGTTTTTAATGGTCTCGGTAAAAACAATATCTTCTCATTGTAACATATAGTCGGTACAATTCTGTGTGTCTAAAGCTGTCTTTCTTGAACAGAAAAAGTGAACATTTCCCTCCATTTCAGACCAGAAAAACCAGAAGAAACAGAAGATAGATTAGAACCGACAGAAAAGCCTGACCAAACACAAGACACGCAAGAAGAACCGAAACAAACAATCCATTATGAAAAGCCTCAGAAAGCCTCATTTAACCAAACCCTTCCAAAAACCACCAACGCCAGCCATGGGGAAGATGTAGAGTTGACCGTGGAAGTCACCTCGGGAGATGTAACCATGGTCAAGTGGGAAATGGATGGAAAAGAGGTCAGCCTTGAGAGATCTGTTTTGGTTATAACTTGATAGAGCTGAACTTTGATTATCTTTACCTTCATAAATAAATTTGTGTTAATTTGAGAAATGCTGATATAAGATCATTTGATAGTTTCATGTTAAATCTTATTAGTAAAATAAAATGACAGTGTGCAATATCAATTTAAAATCAATTCATCGTGCGTCTGGAAGCCACTTGGTCAACTCACTATATATTCATCCACATAGTTCAAAATTTCAATAATATACTTTGCTAAATTGGTGCTTAGCTTACTTGGTCCACCTCTTGTTTTCTCCTTACAATCTACCAGTTGCCTAAAGAAGCCAGGTATTTTGTTTCCTGTGATGAGTCCAACCACCAATACAAGCTGACAGTTTGTAAAGCCACTGAGAAGGATTCTGCCAAATACACCTGTGTGGTTACTCTGAAAGATGGGGATCTCATCCATACATCCACAAAATTGAGCATTTCAGGTAAATATGCCATCATTGCTAAATCCATTGTGTCATTCTAAACAAATGTCTGAATGTCATTGTTGGGTCTGAATGTCATTGTTGGATCTGAATGTCATTGTTGGATCTGAATGTCATTGCTGGATCTGAATGTCATTGTTGGATCTGAATGTCATTGTTGGTTCTGAATGTCATTGCTGGATCTGAATGTCATTGTTGGGTCTTGACAAATCAATTAACTTTTCAGCTAATGTCTGAGTGCTTGTGTTGAAGTTGAAAGATAAGATGCACTCTCTAAGCAAAAGTGATATCTATATCTTGTCATGCTTGCTTGCACACTGTATATTGTAAAAACCAAATTATCGACAAAATTTCTTATGTGTATGATATGAAGCTATATTTGATTGCTTTTATAAATACAACTGAGCAATTGACCCAATGATTAAAAATAAACATTTGATTCTTTTAAATGAAAATATGTTAGTTCTTTAAGTTGTATGAAAAAGTAACCTTGCTAATTTCATGGAAATGTAAAAGTCTATTTTTTTTATTTTGCACAGCTGAAACTGCCAAAGAAGAAGATGGGTAAGTCGAGTTTAAAAAAAAGAAAGATTCTTTTAGAAATTCTTCATAGTAGCATCATAGATGCACTTTGAGCTAAGCAATCTTTTTCTGCTCAAAAATTCTCTGAATTCTTTGAGGCAGTAATAGAAAATTCTATGAATTCTTTGAGGCAGTAATAGAAAATTCTCTGAATTCTTTGAGGCAGTAATAGAAAATTCTCTGAATTCTTTGAGGCAGTAATAGAAAATTCTCTGAATTCTTTGAGGCAGTAATAGAAAATTCTCTGAATTCTTTGAGGCAGTAATAGAAAATTCTCTGAATTCTTTGAGGCAGTAATAGAAAATTCTCTGAATTCTTTGAAGCAGTAATAGAAAATTCCATGAATGAAAATAAAACCATTTGTTTCAAGAAAATCTTGTTGTTCAAATTAAGGCACTAAGATACACAAGTAATTAAGATGTGCTATTGAATAATGGTTTGATTGTATCCCCATGCAGTGTCAAGCCTCACTTCACCAACACATTGAAAGATACCACAATCAGAGATGGGGAGGGCTTGTCTCTAGAATGTGAGATTGAAGGCAACCCCAGGCCGCAGATCTCGTGGATTAGAGATGGTATCGAGATATTTGACAGTCAAGTAAGTCTCTGCCCTGATTGACAACTGCTGTCATTTTGAGAAATGTCCATTTAAAGAATGCTCTTCATTTTTAAGTCTCACTCTATGCCGTACTTAGAATTAGAAACTGCCAGACATTAAAACTTGTAAAGACAACACAGTCAGTTTGTGTCTTTTAGTGTGCTCAAGCTTTATCAAAGTCAAGCAATATCAAAGTCAAGTTTTATCAAAGTCAAGTCTTATCAAAGTCAAGCAATATCAAAGTCAAGTCTTGGCAAAGTCAAATCTTGTCAAAGTCAAGTCTTATCAAAGTCAAGAAGTATCAAAGTCAAGCCCTAGTCTATTTAGAATATTTTAAACATGCAATACGTATTAAATAAAATTGATTGTGCAATGGAAAAATGTAAACTTTTTTAACCTCTTACTTTAGCATAACACACTCTATTGACAAACATTTCTTTCTAACATTATACATTTATTTAAATTACTTTATGTTCAAATTATTTTCAATTACAGATAGTTTTGTTTGTTTAATAACATAATCTTGATTACCTAACTTGATATCAAAGCTATCATTTCATTATGTAGACTCCTTCCATGTGTGTTAGGGTTGTCATGACAAGTACTCTCTCTCTGTGTTATTCAGGACTTTCAAATCTCCATGATTGGCTCCCACTGTAAGCTTCAAATTAGTGAGATCTACCCTGAAGATGAAGGAAAGTACAGCTGCAAGGCAGTCAACAATCTAGGGGAGGCTATTTCAACGTGTTATGTCTCAGTCGAAGGTGAGTTGCTTCCCTTACAGATAACAAAATCCAATGAATTAGAAAAAGATTTTTAAAATGATTTTACCTTGAGGTTCCTAACCTCATATGCAGAAATAACATGTATGGGGTTGTTCGCAAATTACGTCACGACCTCAAATAATTTTTTTTTTTAAATTATTGAATAAATATTTTTCAAAATAAGAACATTTTAGATTTAAAAAAGAAAAAAGTGTGACATCACAAATTTTGTATCCCCCCCCCCCCTCATCAAAGTGTCCTGAATTCTCAATGAGTGTGATGTAATTTGCTAAAGATCCTTATGCCATGATGAAAGAGATGCATAATGTCAATATCTTTGGTGGCATCAATTGTGTTGCTAAAGATCCTTATGCCATGATGAAAGAGATGCATAATGTCAATATCTTTGGTGGCATCAATTGTGTTTCTGACTTCATGATTGGCTTGACAAATTCACTTCTGCCTGGTGCATTGATGGGTGATATGGAGATAAAATCATTTACCCAGAGGAAAATGTCTCAAGCCAAATCAGACTATTAAAAAGGATTATCATAGATGTTATTGTTTTCTTACAAATGTTTCTTCTAGTTTTCTCAATATCTATTTATATTTGACGTAGTTTTGTGAACTTCAGACTATGTATGTTTGACATAGTTTTGTGAACTTCTGTCTATCTGAGTTTGATCATGTGCTGTGAATGTCTGACTGCTCTAGCTATTGCATTGCTGTATGTTTGCGCTGTACCCCCCCCCCCATCAAACCATCCCACTCACTAACTGTCCAACCATCTGCCTCCCTCACCCTCCCCCCACCCTGACCTGGTTTTGATGGCCATTAATATTCCCATTCTGCTTAAATCATCAGCTAACCAGTCAGATTATGACTTAACTATCACAGAAATAATAGCTTGACTCGTTGCAGGAATGTGTGCCTGGCAGTAACGTGGGTCTAGCTGATTCTAGCTAAAGCATCTCTAGCTGCAGACATTTTGATATAGACAATCTCAGTGGAACCCCTCTTATTAAATTTAAATTGATATTTTGTCACTTCATCCAATGATTCTACTTTTGCAATGCTGCTGTTGCCTAGAATATTTTCTGAAATAACTTGGTCCCATTATCTGATACAAGATGATTAAAGCCACGATTAGACCCATTGCCTACCCGCCTAAATGAAGTAAAATATCCGAACCCACAAATACACACCCACGGCGACTATTGTGGGGTAGCTCTAGGCTCTTGGGAAGACCATCTCCATCTGGACTTGGCGTGTTTGTTTTCTCTGTTCATATCAGAGCATAAAGCAACATGCTGCGCGGCGGCCCCCCCCCCCCCCCCCTGACTATTGTGGGGTAGCTCTAGGCTCTTGGGAAGACCATCTCCATCTGGACTTGGCGTGTTTGTTTTCTCTGTTCATATCCGAGCCTAAAGCAACATGCTGCGCGGCGGCCCCCCCCCCCCCCGCTGTCAGCTGTTGACTTGTCTTAAGTCTAAGTTAAGTGTATCCCTTTCAATTGTTTCTGGAGTCTTGTCTGTGCTACACGTCCTTCATATTGTGCTGTGATGATATTATGTGTTGGTCATTATGCTGTGATGGGTGGTCTTTTGCTGTCTCCAATTCAGTGGCGTGGCATCACTTCCTTTCACACTATGCTAAACTGTATTTCTTCCCTCCCCCCTTCTGCTTAAAGAATTGGGCGGATACATGTCTGCCGATTCCGCGTCCACCACGTCATCCAGAAGTAACGGTAAGACCGGACATGTGTAGTGGACATGTAGTGCCCTTTTTAGATGTGTCTCTTCGTTGTCGTGTCTTTGTTCCATGTTAATGCCCCCGTGTTTAGCAGCCGTGGTCCGGCAGACCTGGGCCGTGTCCCGGTGGGCCGTGTTAGACACAGATCTGGACAAAATGAAAATAACATTCAGCTGTTTCTTCCTAGGCCTTAAATATACCAGATTATCGTGGGTGGTTTACTCCAGTTAAGGAGTGTAGTCCAGTTGGAAAGAGTCCCCGCACTTGCTTCCAGCAAGACTACGGACCACTTCTTCTAAACACATGGGCAATGACAGGAAATTACCGGGGCGTGCAGGCTGTGGCCCCAACCGTGGAGTTGATCATCACTGCCAATGACAGGTGTGCCGTCACGGTGCAAGAATGTCTTTAGCTATCACGCTAAGATTGGGTTTGAAATAGAACTATTCGGGTTTGGCTTCACTACTATACAATAATGTATACAATAGAGACCTCATGAACTCGTAGTGTCTGACCACCCAGTTCATAAACCATAGCTCCAGGTGGCACCCCTTCAGTGTCCTACACTACACCCCTACTTGTAAACGCCCCATATTCCCACACCCCAGTAGGAGCCTACCTTAAAAATCCCGTAGTTTTGTCACCCCAACATACCTGACACCCCTTTAGGGCGCCACAGCCTATCAGCACGACCTGTCTCCCCCCATTTGACCGCTCAGTTCTTCGACTGATGTCGGATAAAATGATCGATCCGAGTGGGAGCCAATATTGTCTAGTTGTGTACTCTTGCGTGCAGAATTATTGTAAACCTTTTCGCACTTTTTTGTGTTCAATTCAGTTCCATTATGTATTACTACGCACCGTTTATTTTCCAAATAGTTCACTTTTTATTTCCTGTTTTAACTCATCGTTGTTTTCTAATTGAATACTGCCCATAGCACGATGGTATTGTTGTCACGATACCGATACCATACAAGGAATGTGTTGGGTTGATTGCTTTGTATTCGATACGTTGTACCAAACACATGTGCATGCATATTTGATGTCAACACATTCAAAAAACCAAAGATTATCGTTTGACATACATAAATATGAGAAGGCATCGGACATAGTTTCTGTACATCAATCATGATACTGAAGTCATAAGTTGTCAATGGTAGAGTCAGTCGTATGACAAAGATACGGGGCTAGTCATAATCATGTGACATAGGTATGGGGTCAGTCATGTGACATAGTTATGGGGTCAGTCATGTGGCATAGGTATGGGGTCAGTGTAGTGATTATCTGTGTAGAAATGATTTCCGGTGACTTCCAACAGCCAAGCTGTCCTCCAACAGCCAAGCTGTCCCCCAACAGCCAAGCTGTCCCCCAACAGCCAAGCTGTCCTCCAACAGCCAAGCTGTCCTCCAACAGCCAAGCTGTCCTCCAACAGCCAAGCTGTCCTCCAACAGCCAAGCTGTCCCCCAAAAGCCAAGCTGTCCCCCAACACCAAGCCGGCCCCCCA